ACGCTCTGTTTCCCCTTACTCCTCTCCTTTCTTTCCCCCCGCCTCCTCACTCCTCACACCCTTCTTTTTCTCATTTAATTTCTTCATTCAATCTCCTCCTCTCTGCTCCCCACACCTAACGGTCCTTCCATCCACCACCTTCTTCGCTCCATGCTCCTCCTCCTCCTTGACCCTTTCTCCACCCACCACACCACCACCACCACCCACCACACCACCACCACCCTCCTCCCCCTCCTCCTTGCTCCTCTTACCACCTCCTCCTCCACCATCTCCTTCCTCCTCATTTCTCCTCCTCTTCCTCCTTGCCCTCCTCCACCCTACTCCAAACCACCACTACCTTCCTCCTTCCTCCTCCCCCCAACGTCCCCCCCACCATCACCACCACCACCACCCAACCACCACCCACTCCTACCTCCTCGTCCTCCTTCTCCACACCACCTCCTCCTTCCTCCTCCCCTCCACCTCCATCCTCCTCCACCCTCTTTCCTCTTCCTCCTCCTCCACCTTCCTCCTGCCTCTCCTCCTCCACCACCTTCTCCTCCTCCTTCCCCTCCTCCAATCACCTCCTGCCTCCTCTCCACCTCCTCCTTCCTCCTACCTTCTCCACCTCCTCCTCCTCCTCCTCCACCACCTCCTCCTTTCATTTTTCTTTCGTTGAGAGATTTAATGCCGGGTGGCTTCGGCAGCGGTTCGCATGCATCGCGTGCCGACGTTAGATAGACGACGACGTGCGAGCGTGTGCGTCTGCTGTAATAAACTAGTCGTAATTAGCTAATTACGCCGACGCGTCGAATTAAATCGCGCTCCTAAAAATTAAGAGCGGGCTCGCGTAACCACGAGCAAATTGCCTCGCGCGAGAAAATAAATAAATTAGTGTAGATGGCGCTGCATTCGACATCGGAACGTGGCAGACGGGATTTTTCCGGGCGTGCGAGCATGCGCGTGAGGAGAATTCGCCGACGTCCTATATAGACGGTGTTAAGTTGCGAATCGGTGTGCAGTTAAGTCCTTCACTAATGAAATCAACGAGACGAGATTGGAATTTACTCGCTTCGAAGCGCAAGCACACAGGTGAGCCTGCGGAGGGTATCATCGCCAACAGAAAGGCAGTGCCGCACAAATTCCACCCCGCTGAAGGTTTCTACCGACGTCGCGTGGGAGCCGATAGCCACGTGCGTGGGTTGAACGTGGAAATGCGTAGCCCGGGGAAGGGTGGGCTGGCATAGCAACCGCTTGGCGGTGGGGGTGGTTGAGTAAAACGAAGCAGCAAGTATCAAGTGCCCATCGAAAACCACCTTAGGTGATTTGATACTAAATCGTTGCTCTCTAATGCGTACTAAGCACTAAAATAAAACTCCGTGCCAATTTTTCGGGCAGCGAGGGTGGTGTGGGGGCTGTCCACCCAGGCCCTTCAGATTAACAACTGTAACCAGGTGTTGTTTGCGTCGTCGGGCGTAAAGACGGATCCCCCGGGTCGTTGTTATCCGTAGCGGTGTTGTTTGTGTTTGTGCCGCGGGGCGGGGGCGAGTGGTCTCCCGGTCCCCTCTCACGATAACAACTGTAACGTTAATTGTTGTGTTTGTATTTGCGCCGCATGGGGGCGGTCCAACCGGGCACGTCTCAGGTTAACAACGGTACCGTCGTTGTTCTTTGCGTTTGTGTCGCAAGGGGGCGGTCCACCTATGGCCCCTCTCAGGTTACCTTTTGTAACGATGAGGTTACATGTGTTTGCGCTGCAGGCAGGGTCAGGCGTCCCCCTCTCATGTTACCTTCTGTAACGATGAGGTTACTTGTGTTTGCGCTGCAGGCAGGGTCAGGCGTCCCCCTCTCATGTTACCTACTGTAACGATGAGGTTACTTGTGTTTGCGCTGCAGGCAGGGTCAGGCGTCCCCCTCTCATGTTACCTACTGTAACGATGAGGTTACTTGTGTTTGCGCTGCAGGCAGGGTCAGGCGACCCCCTCTCATGTTACCTTCTGTAACGATGAGGTTACTTGTGTTTGCGCTGCAGGGAGGGTTAGGACTTGCGGGCCTCGGGGCTCACTGTTTACAAACTTCTGTAACAAGTGAGGTTTTAATACTTCTAATGTGTTTCTGCGCTGCGCAGGGTTCAGGCGACCCTCATCATGTTACATACTGTTAACGATGAGTTACTTGGTGATTCTGCGCTGCAGGGTAGGGTCAGGCGACCTGCCCTTTCATGTTTAAGCCACCTGTGAATTAAACAGTACTGATATATAGATGAAGTTATCGTTGTTTTCGCGCTGCCAGGGAAGGCGCTCAAAGCAGCGACCCTCTCACTGTCTACCTTCTTGAAACGAGATGAGGTTACTTGTGTTTGCGGACGCGCTGCAGGAGGGAGTCAGGCGTCGAGGCGAGAGTTGGCAGCCGAACTGTACGGCGAGTGCTCGGGTAACGAGATCTACCACATACGCATGAACGACAGCAACTTCTTCGGCGAGTACGAGGGCAAGAGCTTCACCTACGCTTCCTTCCACGCTCACAGAAAGTAAGTGCGCTTGGACGTGTTCGTGTGGTGTGTGTAGTGTGTGTTGTGTTGTGTGTGGTGTGTGTGCTGTGGTGGTGCGTGTGTCGTGGTGCGTGCGGTTGCGCAGTGTGTGATGTGTGTGCGTGAGCATGTGGTGTTCTGATGTGTGTTCGTGAGAGCTTGTGGGACCTTATTTTATGATGCGTGGGCGGTCCTGTATGTGTGTGTGGAGAGCCGTGTTTATGTGTGTAGAGTGTGTGTGTAGCGTGCGTCGCGAAAGCGTGCGTGACGCACTGCCGTGGACAAAGTCGCGTGCGTGAGTGCTGTGTGTGTGGTGTTGTGTTGTGTGTGTGTGAATGTGTAAAGCGTGTGTGTAGGCGTCTGTGACGTGTGTCTTCAACCCGCGTGATGTCTCGTGGATGTGTGGAGATGTATCATTAGAACGTGAGTGGCGTATGGGTGTCAATGTGAGAGAGCGCGGCCGCACGTGGGTTTACGCATATGTCGTTCATAATCTGCGTGTTTGCGTAACAACGCGAAGTGACCATAGGAAGGTTAGTGGGTGTGGAAAAAGACGCGGGAAGTTCACCCCAAAGTTTATTTACACAGACGGCGTGTGTAAATGGATAGGTATGGAATAGAATACCTGCATCAACTGCGCGCCAAAATGGCAATTTCCCACGCGGGGAAAATAGATACCAGCGCGAGGATCGAACCAGTCGCGCAAAGACTACATGAGCACGACTCGAGTAGTTTTAAACGGAAAAAAACCCCGAGTTAATTTGATACAGGCGTGAAAGCGTGACCCCCATGAGTGAACACTAACCAGCAGAGATGGTGAATGGCGGAAACGCCAGACTCGCCGCCGCGGCTGTAAGCCGCTGCGTGGGGGTTACATGTGTCGCCCATTCAACGCAAACTTCCTATTTATGATAAAGCGACCGCCGACGATAAACAATTTAAACAGTTGAACCGGGGCTGCATGTCACGCTAATCGAAGGGAGCGTCGTCTTCGTCGTATCTGTACGGGTAAAATCTCAACAAAACTAAAGAGGGGGTCGCAACGGATCGATATCTAATAATAGGCAACAGTGGCGCACGTTTATTGTGCGTGTGTGTGTGTGTGATGTGTGTGTGTGGTGTTGTGTGCTGTGTGTCAAAAGTGCGTGCGATGCGTGCGTGCGTGCGTGCTGTGTGTGTGTGTGTGTGTGTGTGTGTGTGGCGTGCGTGCGTGCTGTGTGCGTGCGTGTGTGTGTGTGTGTGGTGGTGTGTGTGTGTGTAATGTGTCTGGATGTAGTGCGCGGCAGCGCAGTGCATAGCACGCGTGCTCTATTACGAACGCGCTCTGTTGGTGCGTGCGCGCGCGTGTCATTAAACGCGCGCCGCGCAGTGCGTGTGTGCGCGCGCGTGTATTATTAACACATCGCGATCATAACCATCAACCTCGATCGTCTGCGCGTTGCCATAGATACGGAGTGGCTGGTGGCCGTGCAGCCGCAGATACGTCGAAGATCCTGCTCAACCCGGGTCCGCAGCACATCATGAAGAAGACGGACATCTGCTTCTACATGAGCATCACCAAGGAGGAGAATAGCGCCTTCATACTCGCAGCACCGCACAAACCGCGGAGCGGGACAACATGCCGGGGCATGAGCCATGGAAGCTGGCAGAGGCGGTGCGATGAGCGCGCGCCGTGGCGAGCAACCGGCAACTCGAGGCTGTCCGCTACGGCAGCGCCGCACGGTGAAAGTGAGCCCAGAACATAGCGGGAAGAGCGTGGGACGATGGGGGAAAAATTGTGGGCTTGTAGCGCTCTCCTCTCTGCTCTCTACTCTCTTCCTCTCACTCTTCATTCTCAGATCTCTCTTCTCTCTTCCTCTCTCTCTATTCTTCTCATCTCTGCTCTCACTCGCTCTCTCGCTTCTCTCTTCTTTCTCTTTCTCTCTCGTCATCACTCATTCAATCTCTCTCTCGCACACTCTCATCTCTCTCTCTCTCCCTCGGCTACTCATATCCGCCTCGTCGTCCCAATTCCTACTCTCTCTCTACTGTTCTCGCCCTACTCCTTCTCCCTCTCCTCTTTTTTCTAATTACTCTGTCAACTCCCTCTCTCTTTCTCCTCGCAGACCATGTCTGTTTCCTTCTCTCTCCTCTCTCGCTCTTTCTTTTTTCTCTCTACTCGCTCTCATGTCCTCTCTGCCTCTTCTCTCGCTCTCTCTTTCCTCTCATCTATCTGCTCTTCATCTCTCTCTTCTTTGCTCCTCTCATTATCCCTGTCTCCCCCTTTTTACTCTAACTAACAGCGGCTCTCTCTCTCTCCTCCTCTTCTATCTCTCTTCACATCTCACCGCCCTCTCGTCACACTCTAATCTTCTCCTACCTTTCTGCAACAGTTTCCGGCGCGTCGCGGTCACCGAGCTATCCAACATCAAACGTAGCTTATACATCTACTCAGTACTGTACAGCATGATGAAGTTTAGAGAGCAGTCCTAATTCATTATAAATCATTAAGATACTTACGCCTAACGCGGAACTCGTCCCGTCTTTGCTGATAGCGTTGAGGGTCGCGGCATAACGTCAAAAACGCTAAGATCTGTTAGCGTTACGATTTTCTGACGCGGCGGAACCTTGCTTTTGTTAATATTTTGCTCCCTTAGCTGCATCTAAAAGTTAAATGCTACTGCTTACAGTTAAATAAAAATATTTTCTAAGCAGCTAAATTAAATATAGCTTAACTTAAGATCCGCAATTATCCGTCATACCTGCGTTGGCGACGTGGTTTCAGGCGCCGGATTGTCCGATCAGGAGTTATACAGCACACCCAGGGGACCGCTACGTCCTAGCGTTGTCTACAGCGAGACCAAGTCCAAGAGATTCGACGTAGAGATGCAACTGCCGAAGCCAATGCGACCAATCATCTTCAGCGTGCAGATCCCGAGCCGCGGCCTCAGCATCGGCAAAGTGCCGCGAGTTTGATCAGCTGGAAGCAATCAGGTGGACGGCAGCAGTTCTCCCCCGTGCTCGCTAGTGTGCAGGGCGGCGCCCCTATGGAAGTGTACTATCTATCAATAATACTAACTACTTATATATAATATATATAATACATATAATATAATATCATATATATAGTTATATAAAGAGCCCTAATAAATTATTATTTGTTATCTATTTATTAGCTTTAAATAATATATCTATCTACGGTCACTAAGCATTTGCGTTGGTTTTTGTCGACGAAAATGTGTCGGTAGACATATTTTGATATCTTTCTTAATTTCCTAATAGTATCAATTATAGCCCGATAAGCTGTTTATATCCTGTTACTGCATATTTCTATAATCAGGATAATAACAGTATTATTATATTTTTATTATTATGATTCTTTTTATTAATTATATATTATTATTACTATTTTTCTTATATTACTTTATTATTATTATTATTATTATGTATTCTTTACTAGCTACTACTACTGATTCAGTAAGTAAAATATACACACTGCGTTGATTACAGATTACAGTTTGAAGTGAAATAACACTGCTATGAGCGAGGATGGAACCAATCGATTATGAGAAATCATAACGATAACGGCAGTGAGATCAAGCAACGGAACACATGGTGGCAGGAAGAGTACGTTACAGAGCCATAGACGATCCTAGTGACATAGTTAGACACCATTAATAAATTAAGATGCGTAATATTTTATTTCATCTCTTTTGCGTATTTTTATAACTATGACCATAGCATCGTTCACACGAAACCTCGTATTATAAACTACGGTATTTGCAAAATACCGAATGCTGAGACAAATACGCTGCGAAGCGTTCACACGCTGATTCGCGCGCTCCAGAAATACGGATGTTGCGAGCTGCGAGCTGCTTAAATCAAGTTAGCAAACAATGCGAAATAAACAATGCAATGCGCACCAACCTGCCCGAATAAAAATACGTAGACTGGATCCGCTCGTCAGTTCCACTCTGCGTTACACTGGAACTCGTCGAGCTGCGCGACCAGTCAATAAAATTACGCGAGCCGGCTTTAGGAATCCGGTATTTAGCAGTTCACACGAGGAAATGCGCGGCTCCAAGAAATCCCGGTAGTTTCTCAAGCACGCGCAAATTATTCGGGGCCTGGGAAGCCTGGTATTACATGAAATACCCGGATGCTGTTTTAGATACCGTATTTTTGGGCCCTCGTATTTTGCCATCGTTTGAACGACTAAATACCGGATTTCTGTGCTACGTGGGATAGCGGTATAGTTACCTCTGCAAGGGGTGTGCAGGAGGTTATGTTTTTACGGAGCGTGTGTTGCTTCGGCTGTGTTTGTCTGGTTTGTGGGTTTGTTCGTCGTAGAGGCCCCGTTGAAAAAGTTATGGACAGGATTCTCATAAAAATTTTCAGGATAGGTCAGAAATGGGGTATATCTTAGAAATTGTTACATTTCGGTGGTGAATCCGATCCAATTTAATTACATTAATAAATTTCAGGATAGGTCAGAAAATAGGGATAACTTAGAATTGATTAACATTTTGGTGTGCGATCCGGATCCAATTAAATTATTTAATTAATATAATTAATTCATACAATTTTTCACAGTCGAGAGAATTCAGCTTGCTGGGCGGAGGTCTGCGCTCTCCGAGTGCTACTAGTTATTATTATTTCCCATTCAGATTCACTACTGCATGAGCAGTTAAAATGTTCTTATATAAATATATGCTATAGAATCATCACATACCTGACAGATAAAAATGAAAACGGTGGTAATGGTAAGCGTTATATTAACATGACCAGTATTCATGTCTGGATACGTTTATACGTCCAGTATTTATGTCTGGGTCATGCTTATACGTTCAGTTATTTATGTCAGGCCATATTTATACGTCTAGTATTAATGTAAAGTCATGTTTATACGTCCAGTATTCATGTAAAGTCATGTTTATACGTCCAGTATTTATGTAAAGTAATGTTTGTACGTCTAGTATACATGTCAAGTCATGGTTATACGTCCAGTATTAATGTCTGGTCATGTTTATACGTCCAGTATTCGTGTAAAGTAATGTTTATACGTCCAGTATTCGTGTAAAGTCCTGTTTATACGTCCAGTATTAATGTAGTCTGGTCATGAGTAGTCACGTCCATATTCACTATAAAGTCCATGTTTTAACTTAGATATTAATGTTGGCACACGCTTATACGTCATTATTTCATTAAAGTCATGTTATACGTCCAGTATTCGTGTTAGGTCATGCTGGCAGCTCTTGCTGATGGGCGTGTGTATTATATATTACACCGTATGCTATTACATTTGCTATTAAAACTGTTCCACGATAATTTAGGGCGGTGGACTATATTCATGCAAGTCTGTTCTAATATAAAGTCTTCGTTACAGGTCGCGGTGATATACGCACGGCATCGACAATATACAAAGATTATATTTTACCTGCTAATACTATATCATATATATACTGTTATAATATATAATATATATATATCTATATATAATATATATATATATATAAATAAATATATATACTTTAGGCTATATAGAAAGTTTACAGCATCCCTTTCATCTCGTCGTTTGTGATTTCAGGGAGCATATTGGAATTCCTCATGTAATTCCTTATATAGGAACTTGCCACCGGGAGTGTCATCTGTTGAATGTGAAGAGATGGCCATGCTGTCTCAAGCTGGCCTGTGTATGTACTTAGATCCTTCACGTATTTTATAACAGGACACAAACACACACTAGTATGTGTAGGTAAAGCGCGGAATAACCATCATATTATTCTTACATTATAGCTAGTATATAACTATTGCGTTTACGTTTTAATCCTGAGATATATATCGGTAATAAAAACAGTGGTTACGAGAATTTAATTGCAGCTAGTTTTTTGAAGCCTGCTGTATAGCGATATAAACGATTGCAATAAAGTCAGTGGTGATACGTGATGGGGAAGTAGTGTGTGAAGCTAAGGCGGTGTGTGACAACTCACAAGATGTTCTCATCTGGTATCTTCTGAATTTAAACGGTTGATTCCTTTTGCTTTCCCGGCCTATACATGTCAATCCGTAATAATATACTTGAAGCTTTTCCAAAACTGATCACGGAAATGTTTATGACAGACAGCTAACGCATTGCCAAATAACGTATATAACTAATTATGCCTCAGTAAATTCCCTGCTGGGGCATATGTTCACGCGGGCCCCGAGGCAGTGTCGATCATTAACATTCCCATATACATCATCATGCATATTGCATCAGTGAACACCCGATTGCAGGCAGCAGGGTGGGAATCCTCCAACAATAAAAACTCAATTACAATAATTACCATTAAACATATTAAAATTAGAATTACTCGCAGCAACTAGCTAGATACCTATATCTGTCTATCATAAAGTGGTGGGACTGCCCCAGCGGTGTTGATCTCCCGTTAGTTTCAGTCTGACTGCATGCGATATTATTGTTTCGTTTCATTCTCTGCACGTGATAAACTAGAGTATTATGTTTACAATACATTATAATGATCTTTGCGTATGCCGTATAAATGCATATGCTGTCAACCGAGTAACGGAGAATGCGTCTGTGGAGATTACTCCTATACTATTTCCATGTCGTATATTTATTTTATATATTTTTAATCATCAGTTTATATGAATTTGCTCGATAGAGAGGCTGCTACGGGTGGAGGCGATAGACTGCACCACAGTGCCTCTCTACTTATACGCACATTTGTGACGGCTCACCGATGATGTGGCACAGTGCAACATGGCACCCGGTGAATTAGTGCACACTGTGCCACAGTGGCCTGTTATAGTGCATAGTACTTTCGTGCACAGTCAATAATATATAGTGTACATGCAAGTCATGCACAGTACCACAGTACCGCGTGCATTGTGCATGGTGCCATAGTTTAAAGTATCACAATGCACAGATATGTAGTGGATATAGTTGCATTGTGCATAACACAAGAGCTTATTATATAATATTGCACAGTACTGTTATTCAGAGTTCTATAGCACGCAGTACTCTGTGCGCCGAGTCATATCGCCAGATAGTTCCACGTTACCAACGTACCAACGTAATCAAGTAACCTATATATATATATATACGATTCACGTTTAGAGTTAGGAGCCTAAAGTTTAAAATGCAGGAAATATTCAATATGCAACGTTCTACTGTGATGTAATAAAGTGTACTCAGGGGGTAGAGTGCGTGCACGTGCCGGTATGACTAACCCGTCTCTATCAGATCTTACAGGAGTTGAGGCCGGTTCGATACACACAGCTTCATGGCGTTCACTTATTTTATCTGCAGCCGGGCACTCACGCGTCTGTCACGTGTACGCTACAGACAATTAAGAATATAAATACATGTATATATATATATATATATATATATATATATATATAGCATCTCTTGCAGGGCGGTTAGCGAGCATGCGCACTCTCGTGCCTGAAGCATGATATCTTGCTTGTTGTAGTTGTGTATGATTACCCTCGGCAGCCCCGTACCTTGCGCTAGTCACGCCTAGTGTACAGATTACGCGAGTGCGATCGGAGGCCCATCTGTTGCTGCAGCCTCAACGTGGTATGTACGCACGCGCGCCAGGGCCCACCAAATACGATAGTTGATCGGAGAGTCGTGAATCAAACGCGTATTTAACTTCGAACTTCGACCCTATTTCGAAAAAATTCCGAAAAACTCGTGATGATTTGGAAATTTTCGCAGAATCCGCTAAAAAACGTGTATGGAAGGAAGTCTAGTAAAAATTGCTTTCAGTTTAACTCTATTAAATCTTAATATACGCGTACACACTTGAACGTCGCGTGATCATGTAGAGCTTGTTAGTAATTATTTCACGAAGCCTGGTAACGCACACCTCGTATAATATAGTAAACGGCCGAATTTAACTATTATGAAAAACCCGGAGACGCCTATGGTTTCAGTTTCGTTAAATCCGGTAAACCTGTGTGCATTAATTCGTTAAATCTAGTTAAAGCGATAGTTTCATTTTCGTTAGACTTAGTAACGAACCATTAGTAACGGTAACCACAAAACTAGTACAGCATCACATTTTGTAGAATCTCATAAACGCACATCGTTTGTTTACGCAAACTCCCATAAAACTAGTACAGTATCCAATTTCGTATGGAATCTTCCAAAAAGCTCCAGAGTTATTCAATTAGGGAGAAAAAAGAAACTGGCGCTTTTCGCTAACGAGTAACTAACAAACTATAGACTGCCCGCCGTGCGCGCGCGCGGCCTCGCTTATGTCGGGCGTGCGCTGCAGTGTGCTGCGTCAATACGTATGTGCGTGCCGTGCGTGTGTGCGCAGTGCGTGTGCGCGTCGTGGTGAGTGTGTCTCGTGGTGCGTCGGGTGTTCGTGCGTGGATTGTTTGTGCGTGCTGGTGATGCGTGAGTGTGTGTATCACTCTGGATTATTTCTGGTGCTGGCGCTGTGCCGTGGATGATGTTTGTCGTGCGTGTGTGCGTAGACTGGTTTAGTGCGTGCCGGTGCGTGAGTGTCAGTGCTGGTGAATGCGATGTGCGTTGCGTGCGTGCGTGTGTGCGTGAATGCGTTTGTGCGTGAGTCGTGTTTTGTTGTGTTGTTTCTGCGGCCTCCGTTCGCATTAAGGTCGTTCGTTGATATGCGCATGCATCGTGTCTACGTGTGTGCTAGTGAGATGCGTCGCGTGTGCTGGTTTGTGCTGTGAATGCGTGTTGTGCGTGCGTTCCGGCGGGAATGGTATGTCGTGTGTGAGGTTCGTGTGGGTGGGGTGTGCGGGTGACTAAACGTATCGTGTCGTTCACGTGTTGCGCGAGATGCGGTGATGTGACGGCGTGGCGTGCTGGCTGAAGTTGGGCATGTGGTGTTGCGTGCGTGACTGCGTATGTACCGGTCGGCTGCGGGTATGGTGGCGTGACTGGCTATGTGGGGTTGTCGCGTGTGTGCGTGCGTGCGTGCGCTGTGTGCGTGAGTGCGTATGGTGTGCGTACGCTTTTCTTTCTAACGCTTGGCGTATGTAATAAACAGCCGCTCTCGTGATAAACGGGTTTCCATGCGTAGCTACTTCAAACTTCATTCTTAATTAGGAATTCATTATAAAGAGTTTGTAATGAATGATTAATAGAGAAGCTCTTCTCGCTTTCTACTTACTGACATTGCGGTAGGGGTGAATTATAGAACAATATGGGCAATTATTTACCTTGATTGCGGGTCTGTCACGTAGCTCGTACTATTCACCACACGTTCTATAACATCTGTTCTGAACCAATTAACTCCATTGCCCCAAACATTTCGAACGCAACTTTTACTCTCGCGTACTGACAGTTTCATTCGATTCTGCGAAATCGTAAGACGAATTAAGCAGCATATATAAATATGGCGTTTCGGTTCACCTACACCTTGATAACTACAGTATAACTTTTGCCTGCTTTTGCATTTTTATGAGACGCGCAATTGTTTATTACTATATATATATAATATATATATAGATATCATATATATTACCGTTCGCTATATATATAACGAATATTGTGTATATAACGGTTATTTATATATGTTAAGGGATATTATTATAATTATATATATATATATATATATATATATGTGTGTGTACCGCGTATACGTCTAGCGTTGCGTATTGTCGGATGAAGCTGTTACGGTCTCATTATTGCAGCCATGCGAGCATTTCGGTGCGACGGCGGCGAATGATTACACGTGGTGTAACAGAGCGATCATTCTCGCTGCCGACTACGCCAGCAACGGCATCTACAACTTCATCGTTCCCCTGCGAGCTCACTTCCAGCCCAGGAAGAGCCTCAAGCCGGTTGTGCTCTTATTGGAAGCTCAGTGAGTATAATTAAGGCTGGCTAAAGAGCATCATATATACATGGCACGCCATACGGAGAGATTTCTTGGTTGTTTAGTTTCTGCTAGTTCTAAGCCAGCACGATAGAATATTTACTAAGTACAGGTGATGTGAGGAGTCTATAAGAGGGTTGTGAGGCGTGTGATCTGGTCTAGTAGTCGTTCTGGTGCTTCCTGCTGCTTTATTCTTAATGATAATGGTGCAATTAATGTGCTTCTTACATCAGGAGTTCATGAACAAAGATCTCTATCCAAGTACTAAAGATTATATTTTTAGCAACGTTGTGTCATAATAAATTATATTAATATATAAATAATATAATTTATGTTAATAAAATAAATACAAATTACATTATATTGATTTAAAACGCTGTAATTGTCATCATACATGCTCAGTTCCGTGACTCGCGGTGTTCATGATCTGCCGAAGGCTTGCACTCCTAGGGATACTAATACACTGTTTTGCTTGCTTCAGACCGGACCCAGCCTTTCTGGATGCGATTTCTTGGTTTCCACTTGTTTATTGGATGATTGGCAGCATTGACAGGTGGGCTGGATAACCTTTTACGTAGGCTAAGGCTATTATAATGATGGCATGCCTGCCATAAGCTTACATTGTGTTTTATTGCAGCATATTCTTAGTACTGGTATGTGTATACGTAGTAGAATAATAATCAATAATCGTCTTTATCTTAAATAAATAAATAAATAAATAAATAAATAAATAAACACATAAAGATATATATATATATATAAATAAATATATAAATAAGTGAATTATATAGTTAGTTAATATATATATATATATAACTTAGATTAAAGTTTACCAGTCATGTGTTTCTGCGTTCTGTAGCCTGGATGATCTACTCAAGGCTGGCATCAACCGAGCAGATAACGTGGTCGTCGTGAACAGAGAGTGCTCCAATGCTGTAGGGGAGGATTACCTAGCCGACTGCAACACCATCGTCTCTGTGCAGACCATGTACAAGTGCGTCGCATTCATTCATTCAACAGTCAACATTACCACGGACAATTATATACTGTAACGTAGTGTATACGTAATCTATATAATCCAACCCAACATCTCCAATATCAAAACTCTCTAACCATATTTGCCACGGCATTTAATGGCAAAGATACGCATATTAAAGTCGTATTCGATGTAACTTAAACGGTCTCCTATAGACCAATGTAGTTCTTATACAGTTACACACACGCACGCACGAACGTACGCACACACGCGCACACACACGCATGCACGCACACGCGCACGCACGCACGCACGCGCACACACACACACCCACACATATACACACACACACACACACACACACACACACAACACACAACACACACACACACACCCAGCAGCAGCAGCTATCCTAGCAAATCTCTCGCTCCACCGACGAAACACTGCTGCTCGCTTCCCCCACTAGGGGGCAGTGCGCCGCCCCCTGTATAACCGACGTGCGTGCCACATATGGTGGCGCCACCTGCCGTCATAACTGCCTCTATTTCATACACGACGAGAGAAGTCTCTTCTCTCCCTCCGTGCCCGAGGGAGGGTCAACCTTCTCCCTCCGTGCCCGAAGGAGATTCAACCTTCTCCCTCCGTGCCCGAAGGAGGGTCAACCT